GACATATTTCAGCAAACAGATGCTGCCCTGGATGTGCTCACAAAGTTGTGCCAAGAAATCTGGAGGACAACTAACTATCTGGCCAAATGACTGGAAGAGATCCATATTTGTTCCCATTCCAAAAAAGGGTGACATGATAGAGTGTGGATATTATAGAACAAAAAACAGAGAGAAACCAGAGGAATATCTATCTGTGTTTCATTGACTATGCAAAGACATTTGACTATGTGGATCACAACAAATTGTGGCTAATGTTCAGAAGAATGAGAATCCCAGAACACCTAATAGTAAAACCTGTACTTGGACCAGAAAGCAGTCATCACAACAGACCAAACACTGCATAGCTCAAAATCAGGAAAGGACTGCATTCTGTCTCCATACCTTTTCAATCTATATGCAGAACAGATCATTTGGAAGGCTGGACTTTATGAGGAGGATGTAGCATCAGACTTGAAGGAAGATTCATCAACAACCTATGTTATGCTGATGACATAAACTCATAACCAAACATGAAGAGGATCTGAAGCATTTGCTACAGGTCAAGGGCTACAGTCTTCTGTACGGACTGAAGCTCAACATCAAGAAGACAAAGATTCTCACCACTGAGCCAAATGGCAACATCATGATAGATGGAGAAAAGACTGAGGTTAACAATTTCAGCTTGTTTGGTTTCACAACCAACATTTTTGGCACAAACAGTCAGGAAATCAAAAGGTGAATTGTATTCTGATGGAGAGCAGCAGCTGGTGCTGGGATGGTGCTGCTGGAAAGCGAGCAGTTCCTGACGGAGCTGACCAGACTCTTCCAGAAGTGCCGGTTGTCGGGTAGCGTGTTCATCACCCTGAAGAAGTATGACGGTCGCACTAAACCCATTCCAAGGAAAGGTATGGTGGACAACTTCGAGCCTTCTGACAACAAGTGTCTGCTAAGAGCTACTGATGGGAAAAGGAAGATCAGCACCGTGGTGAGCTCCAAAGAAGTGAATAAGTTCCAGATGGCTTACTCTAACTTACTCAGAGCTAACATGGATGGTCTGAAGAAGAGGGACAAAAAGAGTAAGAGTAAGAAGAGCAAAGCAGCACAGTGAAGGGTGCCGTACTTCTACCGTCACCACCTAGCCACTGAATTGCTGGATTTTTTTACTTTTGTCCACTAAGCTAGGCTTTTGGCTCCCCAGTGGTGGCTATTTTCTTAAGATACTTGCTTATTTTGGAGGGAGGAAGGGCAGAAGAAGGGGTTCAGTGTTTACAGGGTAGTTGCAGTAAGAAGCCAGTTTATGCTAGACCTCTGACTTGACTGGTTTTTACTGAATGCTGTTTTAGAATAAAACAAAGTCTCTGCAGACATCTGTGTGAAGAGCAATGTATCATTAAACATATCTGTTTATCAGCAAAAAAAAAAAAGGTGAATTGCTTTGAGAAAATTTTCTATCAGGGACCTCTTCAGAGTGTTAAAAAAGAGCAATGATGTCAGTTTGGAGTCTAAGGTGTGCCTGATGTAGGCCATGGTTGTTGCAATTACTTGCTATGCATCAGAGCTGGACAATGATTTGTAAACTCAAATTTTAAAAATAGGAATATTTTAAATATCATTGTAACTTAAAACACTAGGAACACTGAGAATACAGCACTATTTTTTGTAACTTATTTTTCAATATCTTGAATATTGCTGATCATCCTCATCACATAATTTATAATATGAAACAAGTATCTTTTCTAAGCCTTTGCAAATTGTCAGTCTTTTTAATTTTGGATCAACCTCCAAAATATTGTTTTTTCAATGTTACAGAACAGCTCTGAAAACTTTAATGTGATGTTTTTCATCAGCATCACTTTCTCTGAGACATTTCCATTGTTTTTGTAACAACACTTTTCCTCTTCTAAGTTCAGAAGCTTGCCTTTGCTATGTTCTGGTTACATTATCTAGAGCTTCTTGAAAAATATGTGTCAACATTCACATGTGTACCTTCTATAAGTTCATTTGCAAGAGCAACAGTGTCAGGCTGAAGACAACTCAGGTGCACCTGATCCGGGCATCTTTGCAATTGTGTGCTATGCATCGGAGACCTGGGTAGTGGCTAGAGATGCTAGAAAGAGAATTGCTGCCTTCGAGCTCTGGTGCTCGAGAAGAGCGTTGAATATACCATGGACTGCTAGGAGAACAAACAGATTTGTTCTGGAGAGGGTGAAGCCAGGCTGCTCCTTGGAGTCAAGGATTCTGAAAGTTCGTCTGACATACTTTGGGCATGTTGCAAGGAAGGACCAGTCCTTGGAGACAGACACTATGGGAGATGGGAGGGACAGCAAAGGAGAGGAAGACCTTTGATGAGATGATCGATTCAGTGATTGGGGTGGTGGGAGTAGGTGTGTCGGAGACAGTGAGGTTGGCATAGGATAGAGAGGATTCAGGGCTCTTACATATAGGGTCGCTGTGAGTCACAACCAATTCAATGGCACATAATAATAATAATCCTACATTGCCATACAGAAGTCCCATGGACTGCCAAAAGAACCAAGAGGTCTTTCAATAGTACAGTGGGATGCTCCTTAGAGGAAAGGATGGCACAACTTAGTCACACATACTTTGGGTATATTGTTAGGAGGGGCCAGGCCTTGGAGATAGACATCATACTTGGGAAAGTGGAGGCTCAGCAAAAGAGAAAAAGACTTTCTATGAGATGGATTGATACAGTGACTGTAACAAGAGGCTCTAGTGTGGCAGAGATGATGATGGCACAAGATAGGAGAGAGCTCAGATCTGATGTTCAAAGGGTTGGTAGGTCAAGCCCCTATTATGTCACCAGAGCTCCCTGGAGTGCAGGGTTGGTTACTTCTGACTAGGTAAAAATGGCTTCACAGCTGCAATATTTACTTACACCTTGAAGGATGAGCAGGACTTTGATAGAGAAATTGGGGATGGGTCTGGAAGAGAAACCTGAGAAATACATTTAAATTAAGCTCAGCTGAAATGTACAACAGACTGTGTGGCAGGGAAGCTAAGTCAGCATCAAATTGGTAAAGGTTTTACTTAATTCCACACTTTAGTTTTCTATTTCACTGATGACAGTGCATGCAGGACCTGTACTAAAGATGTTACCAGTTCAGAGGCAAAGACATCTGCCAAGAGTTCAATGTAATGAAAAACAGTGGCTCAGGGAGAAAAAGTATAGAGAGAACAAATTGGTATTCAGTGAGTAGAATATAGATATCCAAGGTTAGAAAAAAACCAACTCACTTCCCCTCCAGGAGCTAACATAGATCCTTAAGAGCTATCTAGGGATCCACCAACAGCTCAGGAGAAAGGACAATCCCCTCCCAAGGGATAGAATCACAGAAAATTGGCTGGAGCATCTTTTCAGTTCTAACTTGAGGGCAATGAGTAATTAGACAGCCATTTAGTGCCCCCTGGTGGATGAGACCTTCCCTTAACATTGATTCTCGTTCAGTCTCTTAACCCCTGTAGAAATCCCCATTTAACAGGTTGCTAACCTAACATACATCCACAACCACTTTATAGAAAGATTCCATAGTTTTACAGCCATTAAAAACAAACGGAGGGTCACTAAGTGTTGACAGCTAGAAATTATCATCCTAGCTTCCCAGAATTCAAAATGCAATGCGGCTTGAGGAATTTAGGTTTCTTGTATAACCATGCCCGTTCTTTACCCTGAACTGTGGTTATGGTTTATGGTTTAATTGAAAAATGACACCGAGGTAAAGAATCCACGAAATGAACTTCACAGAGAAGCATGCAGAGATTGAAATATTCAGACAGGATTTTTAAATGGGGTTGGGGAGGGAGGGCAGGGTAAGGCGTGGAATCCTGTTAGGCAAACAATGGCTTGAATTGGGGTGATTGAGTAATTATGAACAAGCAGGTTGAGAGTACTGAGGTGAACGTGCACTGCTACATCAAAGGATATGCTGCTCTAGCAGCTTGCAGACCAGCAGACCAATGGCCTCCTATTGATCCACAGCTTCAGGTGGCTTAGTGGTTCCTGATGGCAGAGAGAATTATGAAAAATATTAAATTCTAACAGAACGCTGAACTGTGTTGAGTGCCACATATTCCGTAACTGCCAAAAGGTCTTGGAAAGGGTGCAGCCTGGGCAGTGTTAGGGAAACTTTGTCTCACCTACTTTGTGGGGTTGTGGTTAGAGGGATCAATTCTTGTAATGGTCAGTGAAGAGGAAGATCCCCAAGATGGATTGACCGTGAATTTTAACAATGGGCTAGAATTCGCTAGATGTGAGATGACAAAGGGCTAGGGTAGAGTTCAGATCCATTGTTTATATGGCTGAGATGCAGGAGTGGCATCCACTTCCTAAACATGCCTCTGGTAACTATAAGCTTTGAGAAATTAAAATCCACCAGGATTCTTGGGAGAAAGTCAAGCAATCCCATCCAGTGCAATCTTGTGTCAATTCCCACAGCAACCCTATGAAGAACAGATCAGAACCCTGCCTTATCCTGTCCCACCTTAGCCATCTCCAACACATTTGGAGCCCATTCTTTCTCAATTAATCGTGCAGGTCTTAACACTGAACCCCTCCCTATTTCCCAGTGTACTTTTACAGCCTCTGAAAACCCACACGGGCCAACTAGGAATTGAGCAGATCCAAAATCAGATAAATCCATTAAGTGGTTAATGATGGCTCAAGACAAAATAAGGTTGCATTCTTTAAAGAAAAGCTAGCTACTCAGACCTTAACTAAGGAATCCAGTACTGATGAAGGCATTTGTAGATTTTTATCACATAAATGCTATTTGGTTATCTTAAATCTATTCAAGTTTGTATAACTTACTTCTCAAATGCCAACTAGGCTGCACGATATCCTGAAACATCTCCAATCCTTAACTAAACTCGATGTTCCTGGCTGTAATTTAACTCCTACTCCTTGATTCACACATGGGAACTTTTCCTCCTTAACACCAGTACTTCCACAAAGAATTAACAGCCATCTGGAATTTGAGAGACTAGGTAGATAAATAATCCTTACGCCCAAATGCCAAACAACATTTATTTTCAAAAACAACTTTATTCATGACACATTTTTTTAAAAAACTCCCACCCCCTGCAAATGAGCTAGAAAAATAAACAAAATCCACCTCCCACCTCCCTGTTCCCACTTCCTCCCGTTCCCTCCAAATAAAAGGGTAAAGAGAAAAAAAAAAAAAAGCAAAGGAAAACAAAACAAAACAAAAAAAACACCCCAAACCCCAGAAACAAGGCAGTGCATTTCCCCAAGGGGAAGGGGAATTTACACTGGAGCCGCTGGGAGCGGAACGGAGATCTTCCGGCTACAGAAACCTGCAAAGAAAGACACTCAAAACAGAAAAAGAAACACAAAAGGAAACAAAATAGATCACCAGGCAATCTGGAGGGGTAGGGAGCCAGAAAAGATGGATGGGGTGGGAGGCAGACTTGGCAGGACAGGAAGCAAGCAGGAGGGGTCTGTGAAAGGCAGGGAGAAGATGGAGGGAAGGTAACAAGCAGAACAGTTTGATGTCCTTCCAGAGCCCTGGGTAAAAAAAAAACCCCTTCTGCCACTCATGCCCACCTACCCTTGAGTAGCCCCCAAGGGGGTGAAGTGGGACAGGGAAACACAGGAAGCAGCTTTCGCAGTTGAGACGTGTCCATGGTGAATCCCCCAGAGGGAATGAGCAGCCCCTGCCCCACACCCTGGGCCTTCCCTTACTCCCCAAAGCAGGTCCCTCCTCAGCAGTTAGTTATGGGATTCTCCCCCCTTCCACAGTATATCTTTTTTTTTTTTTAATATTTTTTTTTTCCATCAAGGTCATCTTCTGTTTTCTTTTTTTTTTTTTTTTTAATTCTTTTTTTTTTTCCTTCTTTCCTCTTTTTTTCCTCTCTCCTCCTAATACACACTTTTTTTTAGTAAGGGGAATACCATGATGTCGCTCTAGCCCGGCCCCTGGAAGAAAGAAGGAGAGTTGGGTGTTAACATGATCACTAGGTATTTCAGTTCAAGTCCCTCCCCATGGGCCCTTGTTCTAGTTACTGTGAAGGGAAGGGAAAAATTTTCAAGTGTCCTAAAGCTGGCCCCACAATCCCCAAAACATACACACCTGAAAATGAGTGGATGGAAAGGGAGAGTTAGAATCCTTTGCCTAACTGGCAATAAGTGCATATACAGAGGTAAGATAAAAAAGAGGACCCATTGTTTATTTAGTTTCCAATTTCTTCACAGCTCATAAACCTTACACCCACAAAGGAGCTGAGCCTATTAAGTCTAACTCATCTATTTTAATATGGAGACTAAAATAAACATGGGCTATACCCAGTGAGAAAGTTAACTTTTCAAGATTGTGGTTGTTGGTGAATACCATCAGTTGCTAAGACGGGTTATCCCTTGGAGAGGGACACGATGCTGGGAAGAGTGGATGGTCAGCTACGGAGAGGAAGACCCTTGGGCAGATGGACTGACACAGTGACTACTACAATGGGTCAGGAAGTGTGAGGATGGCACAGGTTAGGACAGGGTTCATAGGATTGCTGAGTCGTATTCGACTTGATGGCACCTTACAACAACAATCACCATCAGTGCAAAGTGACCCAAACCTGACCTTCTAGTGAATTCACAGGGGAGGAAACCTATCCAACTTTCACAGATTGAGCTGCTGGTGGATTCAAGTCATGCATCTTTGCAGTGGCAGTGCAACTCCTTACTAATAAGCCACCAAAGCTCCCTTATAAAAGACTAGCCATGTTAAAGCATAAATAACTCCATATACTCCCACATAGCAGACGGGGAGGATCCACTAGCCTGATAGTCTTCCAAAGGAGATTCAAACGTCAACTCCTTCTCTAAGTCTGAGAAAAGTAGCAAATGTCCAAACAATGCTTTTGCTGCTCTGAAGCTCTTACTGATACCAACCCACAAAGGGGAACAGGGAGGAGGAAGGGTGGGGGAGGAAGCATCTCTCAGTACAGAATGGAGAAAATCTAGCCCATATCACCAATTTCTGCTCCAGAAAAGATGATGAGACTGGCCTCCTGGCCTGGCCTCCAACTACCTTCCTCATCCTGCACAGGCAGGAGAACAAATCCCTGGAGACCAAGGGTGGCGGGGAAGGAGGTTCCTCAGATCAGGAGAGAAAGAAGCATACAGGGCTTATGGGAGGCGGGGAGAGGAGCAGCCCATCTATCCTGACCTGTAGACACGACCCCGGGGCCTGCTGTTGAAACCACTGTAGAACCGAGAGCGGGAACTGTTGTAGTTTGTGGTCCGCGCCCGGTAGCGGGCTCGTGGGAAACCTCGGTCTGTTGTGCTGATGCCTGGTCTGTTGGTTCGTTTTGGGATCACCTGGGAAAGAGTAATGTACAACAAAAAACTTTAAAGGTACCTGCAGTTAGGTAAAAATACAACAGCGATGGGCGTAGGCTTACCTTTATTTGTCTTCCTCTAAAAAGGGACTCATCTAAGGCCAAGGAGGTCCTCACTGACTCTTTGTCTGAGAATTCTATATATGCAAACCTAAAAGTAATTAATTGTCACTTTATCTGAGGTTATAAACAGCTTACAAGTCAAATTCAACTTACAGTCATGATTTGCTTGGATGCCTTGTATATCTTTATCTGAAGTTAGTTGTCAAAAAAACTTTAATGGAATAGTTTCCAGGGGATGGCCATTTCCACATGGCTTATCCAGAAGCCACCTATAACTGGCCCAATTAATTTGTTTTAAATGAGCTTTGGTAGTGTAGTAGACAACACTTCTAAACAAAAGCCAATTAAGTCTCTGCCAATTTGAATCCAGAGGGATTCTCGTCAGGAAAAAGATAGGTAGTATCGTCCAGTTAAGATTTACAATCCTGAAAACCTGATGGAGAGTCTCTTACAAGTCTGAATCAACTTTATGGCAATGAAAGAGAATCTGGCCTCTAAATGGACTACGGGCAACTCTTGATATATACCAATGTTAATGTCTCATCTTGTTTTAACAGCAAGTAATGTATAATTCAATTAAAAAATTTATAAACAGTGATTAAAATTAACTTACTTCCTTACTCACCCTTTAGGATGGCCACTGAATTTATCACAAAGGATGGTAACACGATTGACTGACCCACAGCCATGAAAGTGTGCTTCTAGTTCTTCTGCTGTTGCACCATAGTCCACCTGATTGAAGGGTGATGAGGGGAGGGAGGGTTTACAGACACTGGGTCAACTTCAATTCATATCTTGATAGGTCTCCTGACTCAAGGATGGGTCATCCTACACATCAACTCTGGCTCTCTAAGGAATGACTTGTTCTCCTTTTAACACTAGAACTTTTTATATCTCCCCGCCCTCTCAACACTAGAACTTTTACTAGTCAGTCTATTACCTTTCAACTTGTCCTATGTCCTTCAATTCCCACCTCCACCTCTCCTATCTTGAACCTAGCCCTTTCAAAAAAATTCCTAGTAAAGAACTCTGCAAGAGTGCCTCTAATGCCCAACCCCCAATCAGGGCCTTAGTACATACATTGCCAACATAGATGGACCGAGCATCAGCCTCCATCTTCTCCTCAATAGACATGATCACGGGGCCAGCTTTGAAGAAAAAAAAATTCAGGAGAGAGGCTTCTTTTTTACTTGACCAATATTCCTATTTCCATTCCTATACTACTAGAAGTTCAATTAAAGCATAGATGTTGATCTGTTCTGTTTCCTGCTGTACCCATAATCCAGAAGAGTGCCTTAGAGCACACAGTAGGTGCTAAATATTTAACAAATAAAGGAACACATTACTATAATCGTATCAACAGCACAGAATATCCTAGTCCCAAACTCAAGATCTTACTGAGCTGCTTTGGTTCAAACATTTGAAATCAGAACAAAATTAAGTGGGTCCAGAGACTGACTACATTTCTTACCTACCAAGAGGGAAGCCCCTGCAGCTGAGCACTCCTAAGACTTCCAATTAACGAAAGGGTTTGTAACGGAAAGAACAAAAACTAGACTTGAAGGTCAAATACTAGCTGACAACCCCCTCAAAAGAAAAGCAGAGGGAGACTAAGAACAAAGAGCATTTATAGCAGAGACAAAGGAAAGTACAAGACAATCCTCACCAAACATGGGCTCTTGTCACAGGGGTCAAAGGAACACATGACACAGACCAGGGCCACAGTACCTGCTCAGTAACAGGTCAGACAGCAAGTTCACGGTCCCATCGTTTCCTGCCATCCCGCAACCCTTTCAACGCCAAGACCTAGGGTCCGCGTGCAACCGCCAGTTACTTACCATTGCCCGGCGGTGGACTCATATTCATCTGCTTTTCTACCTCGTTCTGTAATTCCTTGAGCTTTTCAGCTTCTTCCTCCATCTCCCTAACGCGAGCTTTGATCGCTTCCAGCTCCTATAATGAGAGCAGTGGAAAAAAGCTTAAGCAGCTGCAACGCAGGGGCTATGCCTGCTCTCAGCTCGCGTGCAGCCCAAGTCATTTCCCTCATCCCATGCGAAGAGCCGAGATGAGAAGCCAGCTACCTTCCCTAGCGCAACATTAGGAACCCATGACACCCCAAACAACTGGACCGGGCCCCGTCGGGCGGTCAAGGTTCCGTTAGCGGCCCGGCCCCAGCCACGTTATTCCCCGCCCACCCCAACCCCCCGCCTGCCTCCTCGCCTCAGCGCCGGGCCTCCCGTGACCCGGCCGGCCACCGGCCCGTTTGCTCGCCCTCATTCCCTCACCGGGTCTTCAATGGCGCCGTCCCCCGGGTCACCCTCGACCAGTCCCGGCTCCTCCTCCTCCTCCTGGCTGCCGGGGGCTCCTGAACCAGGCCCAGGGCCCTGAGCTCCCGGGGGGGCGCGGGGCCGGGGCGGCTCCTCTTCAGGTTCGGGCTCCGGCTCGGGCTCCAGTAGCAGCTCCCCAGGCTCCAGTTCCTCAGACTCCAAGCCGTTCCCGTAGTCCCCTGCGCCCCCCGGGGCCCCCTCCCCGGCCTCCCCACCGGGCCCGGGCACAAGATGGCGCCGCAGCCCCGGCCCGGAGCCCCGACCGCCCGCAGCCCCCGCTGCTGCTGCCGCCGCCGTCGCCGCCGCCATCGCCGCTCTGACTGGGGTCCGCCGCCTAGCGATTGGAGAACTGCGCAGGCCACGCCGAGGACTCATTAGTCAAGCCCCCTGCCCGTCACCACGAGCTAGTAGTCCATTGGGGAATATTACTTGGCAATCAAAGAAGACCCCACCTCTAAGGCGGGACTCTTAGCCAAATTATCAAATCCCAGTAGGTGAAATTTACCTGTCAATCAACAAACGTCCCACCTTCCCTCAAGTGCTTAGGTAACAATACCGCCATGCTGTGACGATATTACTGTCACTTCCCCCTCCTTATGGGCGGATCCACGATGTATATGACACTCTGTGACTGGCCTAAACGAGACGGAAAGGACCAATCTAAAGATCACTTAAAATTAGTGGTCCAGCCCCAAATGCTGATTGGATCACAAGATTCGAAGGGCAGGCACCCATTTCGTGACAAAACGTATTGCCGGGTTTAAAGCAAGAAAATCCGAGGTCACATGACTTCGTTTTTGAAAGCCGCCATCTTGTTCTACTGGTTGCTAACTAGCACCGAGGCAGGAAACATAGGGTGGCTTATAAATTAGTCAGCCTGCATCATAGATAGCATGTTCCTATAAATGAAGAGTTTTAAGTAGAACACCCCAGTAGAGAACTTCAAAGAAGTTACTGGCACCTTCATTCACTAGGTCTCCCAACACAGAAAGCAGTGAAGCATTAGGCATTTTCACTCTAAAACTAGTAGCAGAAATAAAATTTTTAAATGAAAAATAAAATACATATATACATACATACATACACACGCAAACTAGTAGCCATGAATGCTGCCAGTTCCCCCTCAGTATTGACGCTGTGTTTTTGCCCTAGCTTCCAACCTTTCTTCACTTGCTTAACAATTTGTTACAGCTCCTTAATTGGTGTCTCAACTGCCAGTGTCAAGCCTCTAAACCACACTGCTACCAAAGGAGCTGTCTTTGTTGTTCGCAGTTCCTTACCCTGTGGTCTTAGTAGCTGCTCAGGCCTGAGACTACTTAGCAAATATTTTTACCCTCATGTTTTAAATGAGTTTATCTGCACACAGGTCTGTGCCTCTATAAAAACCTGTACATACTTGTAACCAGAGGAGCTGAGGGCGGATAATGATAAGGAGTTACATGCTGACAACCTAAAGACAAGTGGTTCGAATCAACCAGCTCTTCTGCCATAGAAAGAGGACAATCACCGGTGGTTTTACTGCCTCTGAAAATTTCCCTGAAGGTCAGCTATGAGTCTGTTCCTACTCAAAGACAAATAACTGTAACATAAGCAGACCCAAACTCCTGGGAAGCCTCCCTTTTTCTCTCAACACAAGTGGCCTACCTCCACTATGTTTTATGCTGCTTTTCCAAACTAGGTTGTGAGCTCTTGAACATGAAGGACTAGATCTCATTTGTATTTGTAACTCCACAGCATGGCACCATCTCTATACATAACAAGTGTCATGGATAAATACCCTTCGTTAAAAGAGGGCACTGAGGGAATCTAGGTGCCACCCTTTATATTCCATGAGTAACCCCAGAAGAAGTTCTGAGCACAGGTTTCAAACACATCACTGAGTTCAGATATAGCAATTAGATCTAACTCTGGAAGGCAAAATGCCACCTTTTAGTAGTGATCCTATACATTTATAAACAGGCAGGAACAATGTCACAAAGTTTGCAAGAGGATTTTTGTAACTATATCAAAATACTGTTTGAGAACCGGATCATAGAAGAGTCCAATAAGACTCAACAACTCCCGTGGAGTCTGGTGAGTGGAGGAGGCAGAGGACTTGGGACAAAAAGGGATTCCTATTAGCCAGTAAAAATGCAGCTTCTCACTGCACCATACTTCACCCCCTCCCCAATTTGTTCTCATAAATACTTACCTCAGAAACTGGGGAACTTGAAGCAGAGAGAGTCACAGTTGGTGATAATTACTTCCGGACAGTCACCTCGGCTTCTGGGAGAACTACAGTTGAGCACTGCAGACAAGCTCTAAATTACTCATTTTACTGGATCTGAATTAGGTCATATCCTAACCAAGACCTGGATGTTTTATTAGTACTTAATTTAATTAGTCATGCCAATCAGGGGAAAATATTTTTTTTAAGAAAGATTTTTAATCCAACTTTTGTTGGATAAGATTTTGTTAACAGGCACCTTAATATCTCACTAAGTAGGTCTTTACAAATTATATCCGTTTTGGAAGAGGATTTAAAGAAGTGAAATAACTTGTCCAAGTCTTGAAACTAATTAGAAGCAGAGAATTTCAAATCAGATTTCAATGCTTAGATCATAACTACTATCACACCTGCTTTAATAAATTACACTACACATAATTCTGAAAGTTAGAAAAAAACTAAATCCAAATACTAGACAACTATTTAAGTAAACTATGATCACATGCAATCAAAGATAATTATGCATCTATTCCCAGGTTTAAGAAGCCCTGTTAGTGTAGTTCCTTATGTGTTGAGCTGATAACTGAACTTTTGGCAATTGAAAATACCAGCCATTATGAAGAAGAAAGATGGACAGTCTCCTCCTGTGAAAATATATAGCCCTGGAAAATGATAAGTTGGAATCATCTTGACAGCAATGGGTTTACATACAGTTTACATGCAAAAAAAGTATTAGGTCAAGAAGTAAAATGTAAAATTCTATGTGAAAGATGAGTAAAGATGACAGCTTTCAATATGGATTGCATTTCAACAAGAAAAAAATTCTCCCCACTGGACCAATCGGCAACATCATGATAGATGGAGAAAAGGTTGAAACTATTAAAGATCTCATCTTGCTTGGATCCACAATCAAAACCCCTTGATACCAGCAGTCAGGAGATCAAGAGACATATAGTATTGGGAAAATCTGCAATCAGAGATCTCTCAAAATTACTGAGGAGCAACGATGTCAGTTTGAGGACTAAAGTATGCCTGATTCAGGCCATGGTGTTTTCAGTCACTTGCTATGCTGCCAAGAACTGGACAATGAATAAGGATGACAAATGAATTGATGTCTTTGAGCTGTGGTATTACTCACTATCCATGGACTGCCAAATGAATAAACAGGTTTGTCTTGGAGAAAGTACAGCCAGAGTGTTTCTGGGAGGCAAATCTTCAAGCCAAGTTGCTAGGAGAGGCTATTCCTTGGAAAAAGACATCATGTTTGGAAAGGCAGAGAATCAGAGAAAAAGAAAGAGAAAGACCCCCAAAGAGATGGATTGATTGAGTGACTGCAGCAATTGGTTCAAGCATGTCTGAGATGATAAGGATGACAGCGGATAGGACAGGGTTCAGATCTGTTCTTCATAGGGTCGCTATAAGTTGTGCTCAAATCAATAGCACCTAATAATAACTGTTACTGAGTAGACTGAGACTCTAGTAACCCTAGAATAGACTAGAACTGCTCTACAAGGTTTCTGTAAATCTTTACAGAAGCAGATTGCCACATCTTTCTCTGAGGAGCAGAGCACCTGGTGGTTAGCAGCATAGCACTTCAATCACTGTGCCACTGGGGCTTCTTACAAAGTGTGATTAGACATACATATATGAGTTTTTAAATCATGGGCAAACAAGAGGGGGAAAAAGAACATGAACCAGAATATCTGTTCTTTAGCAACAAGTATCAAAAACTTTTAAAATGTTGAGACTTTTAATCCACTATTTCTATTCCTATAATCAGTTCTAAAGAAATAGTCTAAAAATTGAGTGAATATTTGTGAATAAAGATACTCACCAAAGTAAAAAAAAAAGTAAATAAATGTCTAGATGGGGACTTTAAAGAAAATTATTCCACACACATAGGATGTGATTTCATGTAGTCATTATGCCTTCAAAACATTTTTAATGACAAGGAAAAATGTTTGCAATACAATGATAAAACAGAATTTCAGTATACAAAATTATATGTACAGTATGATCATTAAATATAAACACAGATAAAAACTGGAGAGAAATATGCCAAAATGTTAATAGTGATTCTTTCTGGGTAGTAGGATTACAAATAAGTTCCTGTGTTCTGTAATTTCCCATAATCACGTATTATCTTTAGAATCGAAACAATAACTCCAATTTTCAGATATTCTCTAATAAGCATAATTACTTTTTTACAGAGAAATAAACACATTTAGAAAGACATTTGGATAGTAACTTTTTTTTTAATAGTGACTTTTAAAGATCTTTGTCTAATATTAGATCGTAAACTACAGAAAGCAGGGACACAATCCTATTCTCATTGCCTACCACTGTGTACTCAATAAATGTCAAAGGAATTATCATCAGTAATAAATAGTACTTAATTTTTCTTGTTGATACAGAGAGAAAATGAAAGTGAAATTTCCCTCTGAGAGTGGATTCTTTAAAAATTAATATGTAATGGTATAGGAGTTATCTATTATGGTTATAATTCTCCGTAAGTGTTGTTGTTAGGTGTCACTGAGCCCACTATGACTCAACGCAAATCTATGAGCAACAGATCAAAACTCCGCCCTTACCTATGGCCTCTGCTCACAATCTCCACCATGCTCAAGTTCACTGTTGTACTCACTATGTCAATCTCCATAACTAACCTATAAATGTAGAGCTATGAAATTTTGGAAAGACTGAAACAATAACACTTTTATTTCTCAAAGAGGAGATAATATGTTTATACAAGGGAATGATCAGTAGAACTGGAAAAGGAGAAGTTAAGCAAAGCAAAGGGTCCAGGCATCACTATCTGTCTACCTTTTCTCACTAAACAACAAAAATATTTGGCCTCTTAATAGTTTCACCCCTTTTTTAGTCTGGAGATGTTCACAATAATTCTGTGATAAAATTGTTATGTGCCAGCAAGTCACTTGCGACTCATAGCAACCGTATGTACAACAGCCCTAAACCCTGCTCTATCCTGTGCCAATCGCACTGCCTCTGAATTATATTGTTTAATATAGTATCCATGGCTATTCAGCACTTGTAATGTGGCCAATCTAAATTTAGAAATGCACAAAATATAAAATAGACACAAGTTTTTATATTTTAAAGATTTAATATTAAAAAAGAGTGTAAATAGCTTTCTGATAATTTTTTTTATATGAATTACACATTGAAATGACTTTTGCTATACTGGATTACCTTACTTTCTAGAATTTGTTTTACCTGCTTCTTTTCTAAATGTGGCTACTAGAAAATATAAAACATGTGGTTTGCACTAAATTTCCAACTGGGCAATGCTGATAGACAATTTTGGCGTCTTACCATTTATCTCTATTATGAAGTATCTTCTAAAGCAGTCCTGCCCTACCTGTCTTAACATTCTAGGTCTACTTTAACATGGATCCATTTAAATGGAAGGCGCATCCATCTGTTGAGCTGCTTAGTTTTCTTTCCTTTTAATTAACTTTTTAAAACTTTGTACTTGAAAAATATTTAAAATAATGTTTTAGAAATATGTGTTTTCAAAACATGAGTACACTGATAGCAAAAAGAATAAAATAAAATCACCCCAAAATTCCACCATCCAGTGATAATCACTCAGAATATTCTGGCATATATCTTTCCTACTTTTTTAAATATACAAATAAATATTGAGGCATACGCAGAAATCTTTCAGCAAAGATGAGATCATACTGTATGTTGTTTTTTATTCTATTTTCTTTTTTACCCAATAAGATACAGAAACATTTCTCCATGTCAATAAATATAAATCATTTATCATGGTTTTACTCAGAAAGCCACCCTATCAATGAGGCCTTCCTTGACCACTTTATTCAAAACTGAAATCTATATATGTACTTTCTTTCTCCTCCGTTAGTGAGTTAATTTTCTCTGTAGTACTTAGTACTTTCTGACATATTATGGAATTTACTGTTTGTCACTCTTACTAGAATATAAAAGTAGTGAAAGCAGCCAATTTTGTCTGCCTAAGTCTCTTCTCTAGCATATAGAACTCTGCTTAGCACACAGGCAATGCTGGACTACTGCATGAAGGAATGGTTAAATAAATTAATAACTACACAATCACTAGTATTCTGCTTTCTAGTTGATTTTTTAAGTTATTAATTTACATCATGCCCATATTTGCATTTAAGTCAGCTGCTTTTAAATTTTCAAAGTATCTGCTCCTAAGTAAAAACAGAGTTATCTATAACCATTTACTAGAGATAATAACTAAATATTTTCCAATTTTTATCCTAATTACCATTTGGAGAAATAACATCCATAAAGTACTGTCTGAAAGACTCACAGGCCACCTGATCCTCAGCTCAAAACTGAGCCAGGTATTAAGCCATACCTCAGGGCAGCATGTTTGGTTAAACTGGGATGAGCTTGATAGAACAAGCTTAAGGCCTACTGAATCCCTGTTTGGTGTTTTTAGAAGAAACAGTGGAACAAAAGTCAACACTCTATTTGCTGTCAGGAGTTGTAGAGGGTTGTTTTCACTGTATCAGTATCTTCTCAGAGTACCCAAGAAACTTTGCTCCCCTTGAATAATTGATGTTTTTATAAATCCTAAGAGATGTGACCTTCATTGTGTTTTCAATTTGCTTTAACTGTCAAGAATCTCAGAGCTAAATTTATAGTTTTGCTTTAATATTTAGAAATACTGCTTATAGAGTGTTTGTGCATTAATTTTCTTTTTGGTGTTGGCTTACTATAATACAATTTTTCTTATACCTTCACTTTAAAAATCCATAGTTTTCTAATGTTTTTTCTTTTCAGTACTATAGTAAAATGCTGGAAATGTTCTTAGAAGTAGGCAGTATCAATCAGTCATTAATCATGCTGCAGTGGAGATAAAGGCACTTTTAAAGCTTAACGATAACCATTAAAATCATCTAATTTCCTTTCCCTATCATGTCATGTTCACCAAGCTCCTCTGTCCATTTCTCTATAGGGAGAAACAATGGAAAGGCAACACTGGATTCCACTTAGCACTGATAGTACTCACTTATTCAATATATAAATCTAAAGACCAGTTTATTGCACTGGATTATAAAAAGACTAGAAATGCCTCCATGAGATTTAAAATTAGGATCACTATTCCTGTCAGACATGATTTTAATGTGGTCCTAGACTAGAGGCGCAAAGGAATGGAGTGAGTAATACCTGACAATCTCATACAGTTCAGCAGTCTGCATTTGAAGTGGCTGAAACCAAACCTCTCTAGGGACTAGGAAAAGAAACAGAGACTCCGTTTTTGCCAGACCCACTCTGTTTTTGCCAGACCCATTTTAAGTCTGAGGTAAGCAGCAGAGTATCCAAGGAGAAATGCTCATTGTCCCTTACTTCTGATTAGAGGCTGAGCCACAAATCCGAACATGACTGGTATGGCACAGGTTTTTGGCAGGTTCTCTTCATTTGTTCTGCTTTTCCTTCTGGAAGTCCCAAAGAACCAACATACATTCTCTTAGTAAGCCCTGGGTTGGCACAGATGGCATTCTTGGCTTTGGGCATTTGACTGGGGGAGAGGGTTATTGAGGGAAAGAGGCAATGATTTTTTTTTAATCTCAACACTGTCCCAAAATGCCTACCTATAACTCTAATTCTTGTCCTTATCAAGGTCATGAAGTGTTGATTGGAATCCTCTGATTTCAAGCTATACAGAGTGTAAAAGTCACAAACCCTGCTCAGTCCTTCTCATTAAAATTCTGGGTTTATTTATTTTGCTTTTTTTTTAATACGACCATTACATTTACACAAAAATAAAAGTCAAATGAACTTAGTATTTATAAATTATTAAATAAAAATACAGGAATATATATTTATATTTATAGAGCTTTTCTCTTTTCTTCTAAACTAACCAAATCTGTTCTCCCACCATTTTATGATTTAAAAAAGTAAACAGTATGTGCCCTAAAATAATGGGGAGTGGGATTAATTAACTGCAGGACCTAGTTGCCCTACTTCTGCTCCTTCCTTTTTCAAATCAAAGTCTTTCTTTGTCCCTTTGGACTCTGGAGAGCAAGAAACACACTCTCCATCTATTCAATCTTTGAAAAAATTGCAATTACATTATTTTATTTTTTAAAAAAATGAAATGGATTTAAAAATTGGGAGCCATACTCAGCCTTCTTGGCCAAGAGCTAATCCCAAGGAACTATATGGCTCTAGAAGAGTCCCTAGTTTTTTTCCCTGACAGAAAAGTCTCTGGGGTTTCCATTGCCTTCAAGTTAAAAAGGGCAGGATAGGTCAACACTGCCCACTGTGGTCCCATCCAAGCTGTGTTTCTAGGAATCCAGACCAAGCCCTTTACTTTTTGGGAAACAGCCCCTCCTTCTACTCAGGTGTGAAGACTCAGAGTAGGGTATTTTGTTAACGTGACCATGGCCCCTGCTGCCCCTGTTGCTGAAGGCCCACAAGAGCGCTAACAGGGATCGGCATCCTGTGGTAGAGGGTGAAGGGTGTGCCCCAAACGTGGGGGAGCACAGGATCCAAATTGGAGCTGATGGTCTAGTCAGTGGTTTTCCAACTTTTTCCAGCAGCAAACCCCTTAATTCAAATTAACTCTTACCCTGAACCCCGATATATAAGACAATTATAAGGGGAGCTGTTCCATTTGAGGGCAAGTAGTCCAGCCTACTCAGCACCCCTCCCCCTCCATCCCAAGATTCCTGAGGCAACCCCTAGGAAATTCTGGGGCTCTGCCAAGCAGTTTGAAAACCACTGCCCTAGTTTGTCCTGAGCAAGTCAGAGACCCCCCCCACCCCAACTGCCTGCCACAGACCAGCTCTGAGTTTCTGCATACTCACAACAGACCACGTGGCGCATGCAGCCTACCACCTCCCGTATAAACATCATTAAAAAGTGCAGCCCTCACTCAAAAGCAAAAGTCTGGACTAAACACCTGAGGCCAATTTTGGTCCCACAGTCTAGTGAGCACAACTGTGTTGCCACATTCTGGGACCAAGTGAAAATCTCCTCTAAGAAGAGCCAACCATGTTCTAGCTAAGCAGATCAGTGCTCAGGATCAGGGCAAGGTTCTGGAGCCCTGCACATTTAAAGTCAGCATTGGAGAGCAGCAATTTTAGCACCGTGGAAAGTGCAGCAGTGAGGTCTGGCTCAGGGCATGCATCTAGAGTGAATAATTTCTTCAAAAGGAAAAGCTATAATCTGAATCTGTTCTAGAGGACTGTGAGCTCCGAAGTTAACATCCCCAGACTGTGAGGTACAGACAAAGTAACACTCATGCAAACAGCGTGGCTTCAAAGAAAATATAAATGCGTCTAGGTCATGGTAGATACTCTAGAACCTATATACCTGGTCCCTGATAAAGCAGCACCAAAGCCCAACGCACAGAATAGGTCAGTCACAGAGTACACATGAGCCTCATACCTGGGAGTTCAGAGCTGGAAATGTTCCTCTCAAGGCATCAACTCTCAGTCTCACTGAGACACACAGTGTAGGACCCAGACCATATTCCAGATCAACATTTATGTCCACACACTCAAAGAAAATTAGTTGGAGCCCCAATTTAGTGTTTAGGTTTGGGTCTCAGCAATAGAGAACACTTCTAGACACCTTTGTGCCTCAGTAGGAGAGGTGGGCAGCAGGCAGGTCCAGCTCCTCCCACCAAAGCTCCCCAGTCCTGCCCTTCTGTCAGAGCCCAGGAGGCAGCAGCAAGTGCATGATGCACAGGGAAGATGAAAAAGGAACAAGGCCAGCTGTAGCACTGCTCTCTTTTCTCCAAAGCCCTGCTTACTATTTCTGCAGAGACGTGTCCCAAGGCCTCTGTTTGGATACAGTGTTTCTCTTAGCTATGAGGCAGCAGGACAAGGAGAGAGAAGGGAGGGGGCTGAGGATGCGGAGGGATAGAGTACTGTCCTTATTCTTGCCACTGCAAGAGGGAATGTTTTTCTCCACGCAGAATCCCACCACCAGATTAGACAAGCAGCATGCACACGAGCACGCGTGCACATGCACACGTGTGTCCAAGCAGCCAGCAGTCACAGCCACTTCTCCCTTTCACCTGAGAACCCCAAGCTTCCATCTAATGAAATGTGTCTTCTGTGTTCTTCCCAAATCTCACTCAGCCATTGGAAATCTAATCCCTGACCTTGTCCTCAGGGCTGCAAACCAAGCTCCCTGTACAGTGTCACGTGCCCATACCTATAGGCATAATCCCTCCCCCCTCCCCCCATACCTGGAATGACTTTACCTCCTGGCCTCCGTTCTCCCCATATATTTCCCTATGTCTCCAACTCACCCTTCTACCAACCTGCCTGACATTCAGCTCCCTCACGGCCTCCCCTTCTCCTGCCTGTTCCAATCCTTGCTCAACCTTCATCCCATCTCTTCCAAGGGCATGTCTCTGTTCCTGCTCTCCGGTCCCCCAGCTACACCTAGTCCCACCTGGCCCTAAACTTTCTCACTTGCTAGCAAAAAAGGCCCCTACAGTTACCAGGGCCCCCAGTGCCACAGCCCCCGTCAGCACTGTCCTCACTGATGCCCAGTTCCCCTCCCGCAGACGCCGTGCCTCCTCCAGGGCCCCGTCCCCGTATAGAGCTGTGAACTCCGCCTGTGGGAGAGAAGGGAAGTAGGAGAGAAAGGAGAAAGGGTATCAGGAGAGGAAAGAGTGGAGAAAAGAGGAGAGGAAGAGTTCCAGTTCCATCCATCCACTGCGAACACTACCTCACACCCAGCTCCTCCCTGAACAGACTGTGGCTGCCTGTGAGCCTCCTGGAGGCCTGTGTGCACTCCCCCATACATGAGCATTTGCTCAATGGCCCTGTCTCAAGTGAACCCTATCTTTCTTGGCCAAAAATCCTGCTCAGAACTGGCATTCTCCAGTAAGTCTTGCCTGACTACCATCCCTAATTCTGACCATCCCCCACAACTCCTGCCCTCAGCTGTATAAAATTGCCTGACACCATTTCCCTGCAGGTACTCCTTGGGGAATTTATTCTCTGCTTTGGACCGTGAGCCCATCCAGTGATTACTGCATGGCAGCCCTGGAGTGCAGAGTCTGGTGAAGTGATCTCTCAATCTGGTTCTACCCAAAGGGGAAGACATGGCCCCCATGCCACATTTCCAGCATGGCTGCCCCCAGCCCCAACCAGAACTCTCCACTTTCCCCTGAAGAACAGCTTTGCAGATGGATGTACAAAGCAACAACTGAGAAGTTCTTACCCAGCCCCCACTGCTGTGGATCCAGTCAGCCAGCCGTGTCTCCAGGTAGACCACCATCCACTCCTGCACTTGTCCCACCAGAGGTTCCATCTCCTTGTTGACACTCTCAGCACACAGTGCAGCCCCAAAGACAAAGAAGGCCACAAGGCGGCCCCAGTTGGGACCCCCTTGGAAGAGTTCATCAGAGACCTGGGTGAAGCGTTGCTGGGCTGAGCCTGGGGTCACATGCAGCTGGGCTGCCAGATCAGAGAAGGTGCGCCGGAAGCGGGTTTCGAACTCATCTCCAGCTGCCCGCATGGCTTGGTGCAGTGGGTCAGTGGCTGGGCCCTCCCCAGGGCCAGCTCCACAAACATAACCCTTCTGCCTCAGCTTGTAGCCCACAAAGTCTGCCACCAGAGCCCGTGTGTCTGGGGCTGAGGCTGGGGTCGCCATGCGGGCGGCTGCAAGAGTCAGGGATGAAACACTGGCATGAATATATGGATTGCCACCTCAAAGAGGTATTTCAGGTTTGGTCAACCCTCAGGGGCAGGATAGGGGTGGGAGGAAGTGCTCAGAGACTGCTAAGCAAGGAAGGACAAGAACCAGGGAAGTCATGGGGGGAGGGGGCAGGCCTATTCAACTCATTACGCTAAATTAAATTAAACCATGTAAGTTTTATTCATTTTTTCAAAATATGTGTATTCTTTTGATTAATCAACAATACTAGCTCTGCATAATACCTCTACAGATGACCCACACACACTACAGTGCCCACCTTTTTGGCTACATACAGGAAGGGGCTTAGGACATCCTCAGAGACAAGACAGTAAAGATGTTGGCACAAGCAAAAGATGGGGGAAGAGGCAAGGACTTAAGAGAAAGGTAAGAGAAGCAAAGGGTGCCCCAGCAGACAAATGAGAGACACTCACCCAGCCTGGATGGCAGCTCTTACGACCCAGCACTGGTGGCAAGCAGCCCCCAGCTGGGGCCTTTCATTCTCCCGGCCAGCGTGGAGCCCTGGGAATGGGAGGGGGAGATCAGAGGTAGGTAGGGAGAGCCAGGAAGCAGGATCTGGCCAGAGAAAGGCTAGGATTGCAGCTCCTGGGACTGGGAAGCCGTCTCCCTCCGCTCTACCAGCAGTGTGGCTGAATCCATGTTTAGTGACTGTCCTCCCGGGAAGCCCAGGGCCAAGGGCTTCCGGCCGACACCATCTCTACTCTCAGCTCCCACCAACGCAGCCGAAAGGCCCAGTTCCTCCCTTACCCCCACCCTCAGTATCTCTCCAACCCTGCCCGCCTGCCAGGTTAGGGATCTCACGGGTCAGGCCGCTGCTGGGATCCGGGCTGTTTCCTGGTATAGGAGCTGGGAGGGACGGAGGGAGGGAAGGAGAGGGAGAGGAAGGGAGGAAAGGAAGGAGGAGAAATGGGGGAGGGCCCTGGCGCCGGGTGATGATGGGGCCCAGAGATGCGTCCAGGGAGAGAGGCGGGGCTGGGACACAGGTCTGGGAAGGGCCATAACTCCGGAAGACAGGGGTGCTGGAGGCAGGGAAGAGCCGGGATGCTGGAGGACTCTGTGGCCTCCTGTGCTGACATCCTGAGTCTAAGGCTGCAAAGAGAAGACCATTTGCGATTGAGAAATCTCGGAGCAAATGCAACATTTCCAGAGGGTTTCTGATGTTCCATGCACTTGTTGAACTTTTCTAGCCCTGGAGTGGGAGTAGCTGTCGAGAAAAGACAATCAGTTCCCATTACTCTGTGAAATGGAACAGGAGGCCTTGCCCCTGAGGAACTAGCAAACTGGGTCACCAAACCTTCCCCATCCTCTTTTTTCTTCAAGGCCTTTAATCAAGTGAATTCATGGTCTTAGGGCTTGGGCCAGGGATCAAGGAGCCAGAGGAGTTCATGTAGGTAACTTTTCTTCATCTTTTTTGTAATCAGATTATTTTATTATTGTTGTTGTTATATGTCATCGATTCAAAATGTTGTTCCATTTGGAACAACAGACCCCCTACACTACAGACTTACATAAAGAAAAAAAAATACTATTAAAGAGACCTCTATACATGTAAGAATATATAATGCTAATAGAGCTGAAGACTTAACATTGTAAAAATGGCAATAAACCCAAAAGTAATCTACAGATGTAATGTAATCCTGATTCAGAACTTGAAATCATTCTTCAAAGAAATGAAAAAGTAGTCAACAACTTTATATGGAAAAGAACTGTTACAGTTGTTTTTATGTGCCAGCGAGTTAGAACCAACTTATAGCTGACCCTTTGGGGGTTTTCTGAAGCAGTAAATCACATGAGAGGAGACTGCCCATCTTTTCTTTGCAGAGCAGTCAGTGGATTTGAACTACATGCCTGTGGGTTGACAGTGAAAGATGCCCCAAATAAGCAAAGAGCTAGTGAAGAAAGAAGTTGTGAAGTAAGGAGCTAGTGATCCTTAGTTAAGTTACACTGTTAACTTAAAGGACCAAGACTAGAAGTTCCTATCTAACAGCCAACAACTCAGGGATAGAGATGGGCAGAATCCTCTTGTTACAACTTACAACTGAACAGAAGGTTGGAATTGACAGAAGTGAGCATTGGGGGGGAAAAGTAGGAGACCTTACATTGGCTGATCTCAAAACTCACTACAAAAAGCCATGATCAAAACAGCTTGGTACCGGCACAGAGGCAGATATATAAGGCCAATGACTAGAAAGGAGAACCCAGAAATAAATCTGTTCACCTATGGACAGCTAGTCTTTAACAAAGAGATGAAAGCCATTAAATGGGGAAGAGACAGCCCCTAATGAATGATGCTGGCAGAACTGGGTATCTATTTGCAGAAAATTTAAATAAGATCCATACCTCACACCATATAAAATTAACTCAAAATGGATCAAGAACCTAGCCATAAAACCTAAAACAAAGTTCATAAAAGAAAAAAATCAGGGCAAATTTGTTGTTGATGTTGTTATGTGCCATTGAGTTTAACCCTTTCCAGGATGAATCTCTTTATTTTTCTAGCAGTCCATGGTACTCTCAATACTTTTCTCCAGCACCACAGCTCAAAGGCATCAATTCTCCTTCTATCCTCCTTGGTCATTGTCCAACTCAGTCTATAGGCTTTTTTTTAAAAAAAAAAGTTTTATACTGATTTATTACTATGAATACATTGTTTTTCATAAAAGATCCTTCCCATTTCCTTTACTGCTCCCCACCCATTGAATTAGGCAACCGTATAATTAACAACCCCCCCTCTACTTCCACCCTCCCCCCTTGGATCTTAATACTCATTCTACAATAATGGTTTTGTCCTTGTGGGACTGAGTTAGTTCACTCAGCATAATACTCTCCTGTCCCTCCCAAGTTAGGTAGTAACTTACAAATGATTGCTCCTGTGTGCTGTGTAGTACTTCATTGTATAAATGTAACACAACTTCTCAATCCATTCATTTGTGGTTGGACATCTGGGCTGTTTTAATGTTCTTGCAATGGTGAAAACTGCTGCTTTGAACATTGGTGTACAAGTTTCCATTTGTGCCTCAGTTCTCATTTTCTTGGGGTATATTCCAAACAATGGAATAATAGCTGGGTCATATGGTATTTCTGTATTCAACTTTTTGAGGAAACTATAGTCTTTCTTTTGTTTCTAAGTTTTCTTTTTAAGAAATTTTTCAATGTACATAAAGATTTCCTTTTTAGGAGGACCCAGTTGTCTCGTTTATCCTTCGCTAATTGTGAATTTTCAATTATACATGAGTCTATTTATTCCATAAATAATTAGATGATTTTTGTTATTTCTGTTGGGTAGAGCATAACTCATAGCGATCCTATGAACAAAAGACCTGAAGCCTTTCTATAACTATCATCATTTATCAAAGCTCTTAGAGTTTCCAGAGGCATGTTGTTTAGGAAGTGGATGATACTCCTGCTTCCAATACTCTGAATAATTCATTTTGTCCTATAATTCTATATGTGATATTTCTACAGTTGTAATTTTCCAACTCCATAATGGTTACTGGACTACCAAAGCCCAAAACACTAATTTTATAAACTAGTTCTTATTTATCAGAAGGTATTTTGATTATAAGATGTGTATATATTTTACAAGAAAAAAGTATCAATATTTCTAATACAAGAGTAACTTCTTATTGGTTGTCTTCAAGTTGAGCATGACTTATAGTGACCCCATGAACAAAGCCCCTCTACAACTATCAACATTTATCGAAGTTCACAGACTTTCCAGAGCTATGTTGTTACTGTATCAATCCATCTTATCCCAGTTTTCCTCTCCTGTGCTGTCTGTCCACCCTTACGAGCATGATATCCTTCTCTAAGGATCAATCTCTTCCATTTCTTTCTTTGTTGTTGTTGTTAAGTGCCGTGAGTCGCAGGCGACTCATAGCGACCCTATGAAGGAGAGTCCTCAACTCTTGTATGTCTTTCATCCTCTCTCCAGGTTCATAGGGTTTCAGGAAGCAAGCTATTATGGAAGTGGATGCCACTCCTGCTTCCAAACTTGTTTTAATTGGTGAGCTCCACCCCATACTGTCTGCATTGGGTAGCCAACAATTAATGCATTTGACACATCAGTGTCAATCACAAGTGACCACTGTACGGCAAGTGGACACACCAGGGCTATACGACCTAGAGGAACGTTTGAACAAAAACAATGAAAGACAGGCCCGAGGACCGTGGATTAAAAGTTACCCACCTTTGGCTTTCTTTACAATGTCTAATTTTCCTACATTTATGCTTCTCACATTCCACATACCAATGGGTAATGTCTTAAAAGTGTTTCTTTTCCTTTGTGTTTCCAAATTTGAGGGCTCAATTTCTGTTGCCATATCCTGTTAGGCTACTCTGTTTTTGTTATGTGCTGTTGAGTCGCTTGAGACTCATATTGACCCTAATACAAGAGCCCTGAACCCTGCTCTATTGTTTCCGACACACCTACTCCCACTACCTCAATCACTGAATCTCTCATCGAGGGTCTTCCTCTCCCGCACCGTCCCTCCACTCTCCCAAACATGATGTCCCTCTCCAAGGACTAGTCCCTCCTTTCAACATGCCCAAAATATGTCAGATGAAGCTTCAGAATCCTTGCCTCCAAGGAGCAGCCCGGCTTCACCGTCTCCAGGTCAGACCTGTTTGTTTTCCTAGTAGTCCATGGTATATTCAACACTCTTCTCCAGCACCACGGCTCAAAGGCATCAATTCTCTTTCTATCATCCCTAGTCACTATACAGCTCTCCAATGCATAGCACACAATTGCGAAGACTATAGCCTGGATCATATACGTATGGATATTGTCCTGTCACTCACAATATTATATTGTAAGGCACACTAGAAATGACTTTTTTAACTATGAAAGCAACCCCATTTTTTTTCTCACCTTTTCATCTCCAGCATAATAGATCATATGATCATCTGATTCAAAATGTCCCATGCCAGTCCATCTCATCTCACCAATACCTAGTATGTTGATATTTATGCGTTCATTTCTTCCTTAACAATATCCAACTTTCCCACATTCATGGCTCTCACATTCCATGTTCCAACCACTAGTGTCATGCTTGAAAGTTCCATGTCTATTGCCCTATCTGCTAGTCTAAGTGTGTTCTGTTGTACATAGAGTTTTCGAAGACCTGCTATTTTGAAAGGGGATGGCCTATCCTTCTTCATAGTCTGTCTTAATCTGAATGTTCAGATTTAGAAATGTATCTGACAGACAAGCATGTTACAGAACAACACAGATGAAATATCTTTCCCAATTGTAGAAATAGCCAGGATATCATCCAGGAAGAGTGCAAAAGGTCATTGCAAAGATGGAAGAGGAAGAAAAGACCAAAATGGATGTCAGAAGAGACTCTGAATATTGCACTGAAGTGCCAAGAAGCCAAAGTAGAAAGAAGAAATCAAGACATTAAAGAGCTGAACCGGAGATTTCAAAAGGCTGCACAATAAGACAAAGTAAAGTATTATAATGAAATGTGCAAAGAGCTGGAGTCAGAAAATCAAAGAGACCGAATTAGCTCAGCATTTCTTAAGTTCAAGGTACTGAAGAGGAAATTCAAGCTTCGAGTTGCAATACTTAACGATGCTTTGAGCAGAATATTGAGTGATTCTGGAAATCTTATAAGAAGATGGAAAGAGTATATAGAGTCATTATACCAAAAAGAATTGGCAGACACAGAAGGATTTAATGAAATAACATATGAGCAAGAGCCTTTGGTGATAAAGAAAGAAGTTCAGACTGCTTTGAAAGAATTGGCTAAGAATAAGGGCCCAGGAATTGATGGTATTATGGAAGGATTGTGAAGAAGTGTGTGAAGGCTGCAGTTCTTGACCTTCTGCAACAAGCGCTTCAGGTACTCCTCAGTTTCAGCAAGCAGGGTTATGTCATCTGCAAAATGCAGGTTGTTG